TCTTTTTCTTTTTTTCCTTTAATATTCACTAAGTAAATAATAACTAAAACATAATTACTAATCAAAGTAATTAAAAAAAGAGAAATACATATTATGCTACTTAAAGGGTTCGTAAAATAGTATAGCCGCGCGGCTGTACTGTTTTAAAAATTTTTATAAAACTGAGTATAGCCGTGCGGCTGTACTATTTTATATGTATAAAAAAAGAGGACCCCAATCATTAGGCGCCACGTGTCAATACAATTCAACTTTTCAAAAACACAGAGTATAGCCGCCCGGCTGTACTATTTTTTTTTAAATTCTTTTTTTAAATTTCATAAAAAATTTATATTAAAAGGGCCCTCGAGCGATTAGACGCCACGTGTCACTATACTATTTTTGGAAGAAAAAAAAAAATTGTAGTATTGCCGCACGGCTATACTATTCTAAAAGGTCTATCTATACTATTTAATATATAAATTAAAAAAAGAAAAGAGGACCCTCCAAGTTTCATTAGCTTGTACTTTATAGATATTAATTTGCTAGTTTCAACATATCCAAAGTAGATATTAATAAATCACTATACAATATTTTAGTATAATTTTTATAACATCTATTATTCGTATTTAATAGTATGTGAGAATTATTTGTATAATACGTGAACTTTGTGAGAATTACTAAAAAGTTTGTAAACAAATATGTGTATTAAGCATTAGAAATACGTATGTACATGTACAATACGACTATTGTACGTTTGCTTATTAAAAAAATAGTTGACGTGTGTAGAATACGAATGTATTATTGAAAAATACGTACATACATATGTATATATGTATAAGACTATATTTTAAAGAAACTAATTTCGTATTTTTTCTTTAAAAAATTTAAAAAATAACGTAAACACTTCTCCCGACGAAATTTCGTCGGGATAGGTCTATGCCGGCAAATACTTGTTGGATTAGGTTTCTCCCGACAAAATAACCTACGCCGACGAAATTTCGTCGGGAGAGGTGTAAGAGACTTGTGCCGACGAAATTGCGTCGGGAGAGGTCTTTTACAAAAAATTAAATATAAAATTAGGATGTTTAGGTTAAATTAATTTTTTAAAATTTTCTTTTTAGAAATTAAATAATAGATTTGACTGATTTAATTAGTTAAATTAGTAATTATGTTTTAATTATTATTTATTTAGTGAATAATTAGTATTAAATATTTTAATTCATTTCATGAATTATATTACTTAATAAATAGGAATTCAATTGTTCTTTTTCTTTTTTTCCTTTAATATTCACTAAGTAAATAATAACTAAAACATAATTACTAATCAAAGTAATTAAAAAAAGAGAAATACATATTATGCT